TCATGAATGCCTGGTTCGTCGCCGTTGTTTCCATCATTTTCTGTCTTGTCGTCGGAGCTTTCATCAACCTTCTCTCGCCATCTAGCTCCCCTCCCTCCCGGCCCTCCCCGCATTCCCATCATCGGTTCTCCTGCTGTTCTGTTCAGGCCATTGTCAGAACTCGAATCTGTTCTCGGAAACCTACGTGCCAAGTACGGTCCCATCTTCACTTTCCCCTTCGGCTCTCGTCCGGCGATATTAATAGCCGATCGTTCTCTCGCCCACCAAGCCCTCCTTCAAAACGGCGCGGTCTTCTCTAGCCGTCCCATGTCCCTATCTGGCGCTAAGATCACCTCCAGGAACCCACACAACATCAACACTGCTCCCTACGGTCCAACGTGGCGCGTGCTCCGCCGCAACCTCACTTCCCAGGTGCTTCAACCGACCCGGATAAAAGCCTTCTCGGCTACCCGAAAATGTGTTCTGCACATGCTTCTCAATGCCCTCAAATCTGATTCGGAATCCAGCAATTCTATCGAGGTCATCGACCATTTCCAGCATGCTATCTTCCGCTTGCTGGCGTTCATGTGCTTCGGTGATAGGTTAGACGACAAGCAAATCAAGGATATCGAATGTGTTGTGCGTCGTTTACTTTTGAATTTAAACAGATTCGCTGTGCTGAATTTGTGGCCAAGGGTTACCCGAATATTGTTCCACAAGCGTTGGGAGGAATTGTTCCAAATTCTTAAGGCACGAAAAGATGTGTTGATTCCGCTAGTAAGAGAGAGAAAGAAAGCCAAGGAAGAGAAGATGAGCCAAACAGGTGAGGAGGACAATGACGAGGGAGATGAAGTTGCAGTGTCATATGTGGGTACGTTGTTGGATTTGCAGTTGCCAGAGGAGAATCGCAAGCTTGAGGAAGGGGAACTCGTTTCCCTGTGTACTGAGTTTCTGAACGCAGGGACGGACACGACCTCCACGGCATTGCAATGGATCATGGCAAACTTGGTGAAGCATCCACACATCCAACAAAGGCTTGTGGAGGAAATAAGGGACGTGGTGGGTGAGAGAGAGGACAAGGAAGTAAAAGAGGAAGACTTGACGAGATTGCCATACCTGAAAGCTGTAATTTTGGAAGGATTAAGGCGTCACCCACCTGGGCATCTTGGGCTACCACACGCTGTGACGGAGGATGTGGCATTGAATGGTCACTTGGTGCCCAAGAATGGGATTGTGACGTTCATGGTGGCGGAGATGGGATGGGATCCAAAAGAGTGGGAAAATCCGATGGAGTTCAAGCCAGAGAGGTTCCTGAGCAGTGAAGGTGATGCAGGTGAAGCATTATTTGACCTGACGGGAAGCAAAGAGATAAAGATGATGCCTTTTGGGGTAGGAAGAAGGATGTGTCCGGCCTATCAGTTGTCTCTGCTTCATTTGGAGTACTTTGTGGCCAATCTGGTTTGGAATTTCGAGTGGAGGAAGCCTGCAAATGTTGGTGACCTTGATATGTCTGAAAAACCGGCGTTCACTACGGTAATGAAAAATCCATTACGAGTTCATTTGTCTTCCAGGCTTTAAACCCTATCGCGTGGAACTTTAATGCTTCATGGTGTTATGGGACTCGTATGATCAATATCAACATTGTTCCCAACGTGTGGTTGGTACAATGCCTTTACTTTTCTAATGCCTATATCATGATACTTCGGGGGTTCTTTTTTTTTTTTTTTTTTATGTGTGCTGATTTCTCTATGTATTAATTTTTGATTCATTAAATTTAAATTTTGTTGAGGTGGTCCCTTAAATTTTTCTTAGTTATAGATTTGATCTTTATTATTTAATATTTAACAAAAAGGTGAAACTACTGTTTATAAATTCTGCTAACACAAATAATGAAATATTGACGGAAACTACGTAAGTTAATAAAAAAATGTAATTATTTGAATAGGAGAAAAAGGGACTCAAAAATTTTCAAGAATAAAAAAATAAAATGCAGCATTATGGACTATATTAATTACAATTAAATTGATTTATGAAATATTTTATTTTCATTTAGTTGTATATACATGTCAAGTCATCAACATATTTTGCACATTAGATTAATTTGAAGGTCAAATTGTATTTTAATACTAAAAAAATTAACGTGATCATTTTAAAAAAAATGAGGGATCCAAATTGATAAAAAATTAAATTTAGAAGATCAAATCAATAATTAAGATAAACTTGAGTCACTAAAAGTTACGTTTTAGTATCCTACCAATGGAGTATAATAGTTTATTATCAAATATAAATATAGATATTTGATAGTAGATGATGCTTTCATTCTTATAAGCAGCAGCGAAACATGATATGATTTAGTGTTTTAGCGGGTCTTGGGGGACGAATGTTTGAATTCTCACTAAATATTGATCTATATGATATGATCTATAAATAGGATTAGAGGATTAATTTTGACCTCTATATGAGATTTGGCAAAAAAAAAAAATGTTAATAATGGTTGGGACTTGGGAGCTAAGTCTTATTATATTCTTGCTCTATATAATACATTATCTCTGTCTCAAGTTATAATATATTTTTAAAATAAATTTAATGTTTTAAAATATAAAATATTTTAATAAAAATAAAGTTTCATTGATAATTTCTTTTAATATTGCCTTTACTACATACTCTCTCTCATTAATATTCTTTCACAAATTGAGTATTAAATGAATGATATTTTTTAAAATCTATATTTTTATCTAAAAAAAGTAAAATTATAAAGTGTATTTGTTATTTAATAAATTTTATTAGTATGTATATTTTTAAAAAGTATCTTATAATTTAAAATGAAAAATGTAATTACCTTATAATTTTTTTAAAAAGAAGAAATTTATGTTTTAAATTTTTATATATTTATAATTATACCTTCGCTCAATATTTCACATAAGTGTCTTAATAATGACAATTAACATTTTAATGAATTATTTTTTAAAAAATAATAAATAAAATAAGTATATAGATGAAAAAAAAAAGTATAAATGAAGAAGTTTCATCTCTATATTTTTGACCAAATATCAAGCTCTAATTTTACCACATCGCCTGCAGTGTGCAACCTTGTCTCCCTCTCCCTTTATGAATTACAATTACTGACCATCGTAGTGTAATTTAACCTTAATCACAGGCACAGTTCAATTTAACGCCATGATTAAATGGCCGAAGCAGTGTAAGCTTGCCAATCAAGCCACGGAATTTGAGTTAATTTCAACTCATTAAGGAGTCAAAAAGGCAAGAATTATCATTGACTGTAAAGAAGAAAACGTTAAAATTGCTAAAGGCGTCCGCTTTCATTTTAAAGCCAATAATCTCCATTAGTTTTGTCATATCCTGGAAAATCACGAGAAAAGCATTTACCAATGTATCATCGGGGCGGTGCGAAACTGACACCCCTGACATTGATTTGCTTAAATTATGCATCTTCTTATATAAGCTACCGCCATTATGAAACCGAAAACTTTAATTATTTTTGGGCATGTTTGAAAATTTATTTTAAAAATAATTTTTTATTATTTACAATAAAAGAACAAAAAATTTATTTGACAACTTATTTTTAAAAAGTATTTTAAAGAATAAAAAATAAAATATTATTATAGATAATAAAAAATAAAAATAACTTTTAAATATTCTGTAATTATTGTTATAAAAAATAAATGAGAATAAAAAAATACTTATTTTTATTTTTTTCTCAAAACATGTTGTATAAAATATTAATTTTCAAAACAATAAAATAAAAATAATTTTAAACATTCTCTCTCTCCATCCTTCTTCAGTTTTAACACACATACATACTTATCCTCTTGTTTATAAATCACATTAAACATATTTTTTTCAGAATAACTGAAAGTCATAACCACATTAATTTTATTTAAAATTTTATTAAATTCTTAACTTTACTTTTATTAAATATATATATTTATTTTTTTATTGATTATTAACACAAATATTGAACGAAATCAAAGGAATAATGTAATAAAAAAATAATAACATATTTTATAATTATGATAAAATATGTCATTTATATCTCCGATATTGGAGAAAAATAAATAATGAAATTAAAAAAAAAGTGCTTTCTTAATTTTAGTAGTTGTGAACATTGCATGGTGTCTTTACACGTCAAAGTTTTGTGGGGGAAAAAGAATGGCGTATTCACGCACTCAAATATAAAGCTGCAGTGTAAGATAAGTACATTTAAGTATTTATACAACTCTCTCTCCGTCTGCCGAGGTCTCATATAGAGGTCAAAATTAATCCTCCAATCCTATTTATAGATCATATCATATAGATCAATATTTAGTGAGAATTCAAACATTCGTCCCCCAAGACCCGCTAAAACACTAAATCATATCATGTTTCGCTGCTGCTTATAAGAATGAAAGCATCATCTACTATCAAATATCTATATTTATATTTGATAATAAACTATTATACTCCATTGGTAGGATACTAAAACGTAACTTTTAGGGACTCAAGTTTATCTTAATTATTGATTTGATCTTCTAAATTTAATTTTTTATCAATTTGGATCCCTCATTTTTTTTAAAATGATCACGTTAATTTTTTTAGTATTAAAATACAATTTGACCTTCAAATTAATCTAATGTGCAAAATATGTTGATGACTTGACATGTATATACAACTAAATGAAAATAAAATATTCCATAAATCAATTTAATTGTAATTAATATAGTCCATAATGCTGCATTTTATTTTTTTTATTCTTGAAAATTTTTGAGTCCCTTTTTCTCCTGTTCAAATAATTACATTTTTTTTATTAACTTACGTAGTTTCCGTCAATATTTCATTATTTGTGTTAGCAGAATTTATAAACAGTAGTTTCACCTTTTTGTTAAATATTAAATAATAAAGATCAAATCTATAACTAAGAAAAATTTAAGGGACCACCTCAACAAAATTTAAATTTAATGAATCAAAAATAAATACATAGAGAAATCAGCACACATAAAAAAAAAAAAAAAAAGAACCCCCGAAGTATCATGATATAGGCATTATAAAAGTAAAGGCATTCTACCAGCCACACGTTGGGAACAATATTGATATTGATCATACGAGTCCCATAACACCATGAAGCATTAAAGTTCCACGCGATAGGGTTTAAAGCCTGGAAGACAAATGAACTCGTAATGGATTTTTCATTACCGTAGTGAACTCCGGTTTTTCAGACATATCAAGGTCACCAACATTTGCAGGCTTCCTCCACTCGAAATTCCAAACCAGATTGGCCACAAAGTACTCCAAATGAAGCAGAGACAACTGATAGGCCGGACACATCCTTCTTCCTACCCCAAAAGGCATCATCTTTATCTCTTTGCTTCCCGTCAGGTCAAATAATGCTTCACCTGCATCACCTTCACTGCTCAGGAACCTCTCTGGCTTGAACTCCATCGGATTTTCCCACTCTTTTGGATCCCATCCCATCTCCGCCACCATGAACGTCACAATCCCATTCTTGGGCACCAAGTAACCATTCAATGCCACATCCTCCGTCACAGCGTGTGGTAGCCCAAGATGCCCAGGTGGGTGACGCCTTAATCCTTCCAAAATTACAGCTTTCAGGTATGGCAATCTCGTCAAGTCTTCCTCTTTTACTTCCTTGTCCTCTCTCTCACCCACCACGTCCCTTATTTCCTCCACAAGCCTTTGTTGGATGTGTGGATGCTTCACCAAGTTTGCCATGATCCATTGCAATGCCGTGGAGGTCGTGTCCGTCCCTGCGTTCAGAAACTCAGTACACAGGGAAACGAGTTCCCCTTCCTCAAGCTTGCGATTCTCCTCTGGCAACTGCAAATCCAACAACGTACCCACATATGACACTGCAACTTCATCTCCCTCGTCATTGTCCTCCTCACCTGTTTGGCTCATCTTCTCTTCCTTGGCTTTCTTTCTCTCTCTTACTAGCGGAATCAACACATCTTTTCGTGCCTTAAGAATTTGGAACAATTCCTCCCAACGCTTGTGGAACAATATTCGGGTAACCCTTGGCCACAAATTCAGCACAGCGAATCTGTTTAAATTCAAAAGTAAACGACGCACAACACATTCGATATCCTTGATTTGCTTGTCGTCTAACCTATTACCGAAGCACATGAACGCCAGCAAGCGGAAGATAGCATGCTGGAAATGGTCGATGACCTCGATAGAATTGCTGGATTCCGAATCAGATTTGAGGGCATTGAGAAGCATGTGCAGAACACATTTTCGGGTAGCCGAGAAGGCTTTTATCCGGGTCGGTTGAAGCACCTGGGAAGTGAGGTTGCGGCGGAGCACGCGCCACGTTGGACCGTAGGGAGCAGTGTTGATGTTGTGTGGGTTCCTGGAGGTGATCTTAGCGCCAGATAGGGACATGGGACGGCTAGAGAAGACGGCGCCGTTTTGAAGGAGGGCTTGGTGGGCGAGAGAACGATCGGCTATTAATATCGCCGGACGAGAGCCGAAGGGGAAAGTGAAGATGGGACCGTACTTGGCACGTAGGTTTCCGAGAACAGATTCGAGTTCTGATAATGGCCTGAACAGAACAGCAGGAGAACCGATGATGGGAATGCGGGGAGGGCCGGGAGGGAGGGGAGGGGAGCGAGATGGCGAGAGAAGGTTGAAGAATGCTCGGACGACAAGACAGAAAATGATGGAAACAACGGCGACGAACCAGGCATTCATGATTATTTGGTTGAGATGGATGGTGAGTATTAGTGAAGAAGCCAAGTGAGTGTATGTGTATATATAGAAAGGAAGATCGAGATGCATGAGAGGGATTCGAATCAAAGTAAAACTCCGCTTGCATGGTCTGCCCCGTCCTTTGTTGTTGTATTATTATATTACGTGGACCAAGGAAACACAATCCGCGTGTGTTTTTTTATTCAATTAATAAATGCAACATATCTTTGTTTTTTGTTTTTGTTTTTGTTTTGCCACAATAAATGCAATGTGCCAGTGTTGTATTATTGTCTTTTCTTCCATCAATCCTCTTGTACATACGTGAAAAGATACGAGGTTTTTTTTTTTTATTTTTTTCTTTTTGGGAATAGGGCAGTCATTAGATTTGATTTTTAGAGGCTTGAGTGCTTTGGTTACTGCGGGCTTCAGTCGTCTACGTTTGGATTGAATTATATATGAATATATCATATTTGAAGAGTACTCACTTTGTTTTCACTAAATTTATAGAGATAGACATATAAGAAACCTTAGGATAAAAGGTTTAAAAAAACAGAACAGCAGGAGAACCGATAATGGGAATGCGGGGAGGGCCAGGAGGGAGGGGAGGGGAGCGAGATGGCGAGAGAAGGTTGATGAAAGCTCCGACGACAAGACAGAAAATGATGGAAACAACGGCGACGAACCATGCATCCATGATTATTTGGTTGAGATGGATGGTGACTATTAGTGAAGAAGCCAAGTGAATGTGTGTGTGCATATAGAAAGGAAGAGCGACATGCATGAGAGGGATTCGGATCAACCAAATACTCCTCTTGTCCAAGCCGAGATTGAAGATTATATTTATCAATCATTTCGTTAAATTTTTACCATGATTTTTTTTATTTGTCCTGCATTAAATGTTAAAAAGATAAAATATAGTATTAAAGTATATATATTTAATTAAAAAAATAAAAAATTATTACATTTGTATATAAAGTTAATTATTTTTAAATTTTTATTTCGTTCCAATAAAACATATTAAAAATAATTTATAAATACTACCAAAAAAGTATAATACATCTAAAATAAAGGAAAAATCACCCAGAGGTCCCATAGAGATTCTAATTTTTGAAAGATACACAAATAGCCTAAATTTCCATGAATTTTATTTACAATTAATTTGTGATATATTTACTCAAATACCCTCCTTTAACAAATTTAAAAAAAAAAAAATCTTCCCCATCGCCAGCCTCTCCTTCGCTCATCCCTGCAACTGCAACACACTCTTCGCTGGAGAACACAGGCCATTGCTAGAGAAGCTCCTCCCACTCTTTCTCTATCCCTCTCTACTCTTCATTCATATGAGACTCATCTATAATGGACGTGAAGCCAAATGGCTTCGCTCTGGAAAACATTAAGATAATGTTTGAAAGTTTTTTTGTTTTTTAAAGATTAAATAGAATGAGATGGGATGGGATGATTAGAAATTTTTAAAAGAGACTGCAATGGTTTGGGATGGCCTTCATTCCTTGCCACATCCTAAACTCATATTTTTTGACCTCTAATTTGGGAGTCGAGGGTACAATGATATGATAGAAATAACTTTCTTACAAAATTATCATCATCATCCTTCTCACCCGTCTCACCCTTTCACTTCTCCTCATCTTAAATTAAAAAATATAATTATATTTAATTTAAATTTATTAATTTTATAATTATTTTAAAATAATGAATAAATAAAATCATTTTTTTCTTTGATAAAACTTTCAAGTAATGGAATATTTCATTCCATTCACCTTATTTCACTCCATGCCACTTTACTACGTTTCATTCCATCAATGATACTGTTCTTTTTCATTTCAATATATCCTCTTAAACATACCATAAGGGAAGCATACAGCTTAAGCTGACATGAACTCTGCTTGTAGAGGAAAGGCTCCCTGGAGCCAATTGTAGATGGCTTAAGCTGCGGTAAATCGCTGAGTTTGGGAATTTGTTTGAGATTAAAAAACAAGTAATTTTAAGTAATTTAGAGATTTTATGAAAAAAAATAAACATTATTTTAAGTTTAGTTACAATAACAAAAAATAATTATTAATTAGTTATTTTTAAATTTTATGATATTTTTCTTAATTTTTGTTTTATAAAAATAATTTATTATTATATTATTTTAAAATTTTATGATATTTTTACGTATCTCTCTTCTTTATAACACTATCTCTCATTATTTTCAAAAATTATTTTAAGTAACATATAAAAATAATTAGAAATATGCTTTTTTCAAGATTCTGAATATTTTAAAAAATTTAAATAAACATAATAAAAACTCGCAAAATAATTTTTTTCAAAAATAAGTAATGTTTTTTTCTATAAATAAGCTAAAACAAAGTGCCTTTGTTCATATTGTGGGAAGACTATACAGAAGATAATGGCTGTCTTTTTCTTAATTCGGATGAAGGACACATCATCAAGTAACGTGAGGTATTGTTGCAGGAGAACTTGAGGGGAAGTGAGCTGTGAAGGGAAGAGAGCGATATGATGCCTGAAGCCATCAAGGGGTGAAGAGAGTTAGAGAAGAGAGGAGAGCCGAAGTGAAGAGAGCAGAGCCACGAGCTCGCCGCGCGTGGTCCAAAACACGAACACGAAGTGAAAGAGGAGATGAGAGCGAGCGAGCAATGTCAGAACTCAGACGAGGCCACGAGGGAGACGAGAGACATTGGTGTGCGGTGCCTAACTCAGATGAGGACGGGAGATGCTTGTGCGATGGTGCCTAACTCAGACGACGCCATTGGACTCGGTTTCGATGCTCCGCACCAAAACACTGTCGTTTCAGTGTTAAATTTTTTCTTTTTTCTTTTTCAAACTAAAAATTGTTACTATAATAATAAATAAATATTATAAAATAATTATTTTAATATTTAATAAATAAATAAATTTAACTCGTTAAAATTTGATTTAAATAGTTTATATATAAGTTTTGACTTAAATAGCTTCGAACTATACTTCAAAAAATTAAAAAAAGATAACCTGCACAATTTAAAACAAGGGTTGGTTTTAATAAAATGAACTGATTTCTCATAATATGATAAATAAATGTTTAAATTGTTATTAAGAGAAATGTCTATATTTAATACCTGACTGTACTTTCAATAATATTACTTCTAATAGATGAACATCTATGCAAAATTAATAAAAGTAAAGTTCTATTTCTAGTTTTTTCAGTACAATTCTAAATTGTTCAGGCCAATATTTCTATATGAACTGTTTAAATTAAATTTTAAAGAGTTAAATTTATTTATTTATTAATTAAATATTAAATAATAATTTATAATATTTATTTATTATAATAATAATTTTATGGTTTAAAAAAGGAAAAAGAAAAAAAAAACCTAACGCTAAAATGACAGTATTTTGATGCTGAGCTTTGGGGATGAGCATCGAAACTGAATTACACACGCTGTTAATGGAAACTGGAGTGGCGAGGATGATTCAAAAAGGCGAGAAAAAGGAGACTACTAAGTTGAGGGTATTTTTGTAACTGTACAATAAAATTTATTTATAATTTAACAATTTGAATCTTAGCAGTTATTTGCAATTATGTTATGGTTAGTAGGACTGTAGGAGAGAAAAATGAGGGGGAGAGAAAAGTGAGAAAATATTTTTCTATGTTTGGCTAAAAAAAATGAAGAGAAGAGAAAAGTAAGAGGAAAATAATATGTGGAGCCTATATATTTTTACTTCTAACTTTCTTTTAACTTTTTTTCTTTAAATATGAAAAAATTTAGAAAGAAGATTTCATTTTTAAATTTATCTATCAATTTTTCGGTTGCTGCCTCTTGCTTTCCTATATTTTTATTATGATATTTGTAGTATAGTTACATTTTAATTGTCACATCCTAAAAAGTGTCACATAATACAATCACACATAATTAGGAGTAATTATCACTCAATTCATAAATATTCTCATTAGGGTCACAATACAGATAATTATGTGCCGTTACTCACTATATGCATGATCACACCTCCCTTATATCATCCTTATTCCTCTAACATGAAACTATAGGCTATAACATAATAGAATAGTCTATATTCTATAACTTCCCTAATTTAAATACTTGTGAGTGGATTACTCGATCATGGTGTACCTAACTCACTTATGAAATATGGTTTTCACCATTTCTCACACTATGGGGTGTCATATACTCTAGGCTAGCTTCGATAGCTAGTTAGGTTCAAGTCCCTTGTTGAACTAATGAGATAATTCCTCATTGAACAAGTGAGATAATATGGATATAATCAATCTGGCAAACCATCACACAGATGGGGTCTTACCACATAGATTTTATCATCTACTCCTCTTTCTACTTATACTCCCACCTCTTAAGATCATGCAATGTATATTCATGCAATAATTCACACTTTATGCGATTTATGGAACTTCATATTTTTAGTTTCATTGAACTTCATCATTACATAAATCATTAAACTTCTTAAACACATTTTCATAGAACTTCAAACCAAATAAGTCATTAAACTCTAATTTTACAATCATTGTATTTCACACTTTCAAAATCATTTAACTCCACTTTTTTAAACATCATTGAACTTCTTATAAACAAAAATTCATGTTACTTCTTAAATCACAAAGTCATTGAACTTCCAATAAACACAATACGAAAATCCATCGGTATTATTCTCAAAGAATTTCACATCACAAGGTATAAAGCTCACAAAAATCAATTTAGTGGATTTCCTAACCAATCAAGCCATACTTGCATTTCATTTTAATTTATACATTTCAATGATCAATTATAAACCCATAAACTAATAAACACACAAAAGTATGAGATAAAATTTTTTCAGTTACCTCAAACCTTTAAGATGTCAAAGGTTTAACCCCTCAATTATTCACTCCCAAAGCTTCCAAGAAGTTTGAATGGTGTCGAAAGTAGTTACTTTACAAGCATTTACCATGCAAAACATCAAATCTATTTTTAAGCTATTTTTTTCACTAACACTTTAAC